CAGATTGACAAGCATAAATCTTTTGCCAACTTATTTCACAATCGGTTGTTGCAATTAGTACTTTGACAGGCACTGTACCAATGATTTAAGATGATTAAAAATGACAAAAACATGAGATTGCTAATGCCCTCAACCCAGAGTATAGGTGTTCAGCTATTGACCATAATTCGTTTTCTGTGTTTCATTTATTTGTTCATTCTACAAATGTTCAGTAAGTTCAAGAAACTAAGCAAGGGTCTACACTACAGGAGATTGTAATTTGTTTGGAAGAAGACAAACACATAGTTTAAAATAATGAGGTATAAGTATTCATATGCAGAGAGGCACAGAAGAAAAAGGAAGTCTATGTGTCTTGGGGTGTGATGTCAAGAGGCTTGAGAGGAGATGACATTTGACATAGGTTTGCAAAGTTGAATAGAAAAGATGAGAAAGGACTTCTAGGTAAAGGGCACAACATATACAAAAGCACGGATGTATAAAACTACAAAAAGTGTCAGAAAAAGATAAGCAGACAGGTGTTGGGGGTGGGGAATGTGGCATTTGCCAAGCCAGGTTGGGTGATTTCTATCCTCTAGACCTGTGCTGGCACAAGTCACATGGGGCTAATTAGAATTAGTCATAATTAAAAATTCATTTCCTCAGTTATACTAGCCATGTTTCAAATGCTCTATAGCCACATGTGGCTAGGGGTAACCGTGCTGGAGAGCACAGACATAGAAGTTTCCACCATCGCAGGAAGTTTGTTGGATAGCACCACTGGAGACAATGGAGTGCTCAGGAACACTATTAAAAAGTGTAGTGATATGACCCGACTGGGGATCTTAGTAACATTGAATTGAAAAGGAAGTGAGGTGAGGCCAGGCACAGTGGCTCACACCTGTAACCCTAGCACTTTGAGAAACTGAGGAGGGAGAGTTGCTTGAAGCCAGGAGTTGGAGACCAGCCTAGGCAACATAGTGAGACCCTATCTCTACAAAAAGTAAAAAACTTAGCTGGGTCTGGTGGTGCAGGCCTGTAGTCCCAGCTACTTGGGAGGCTGAGGTGGGAGGATCGCTTGAGCCCAAAAGTTTGAGTCTGCAGTGAGTTATGATTACGCCACTGTACTCCAGCCTGGGTGACAGAGACCCCATCTCTAAAATTTTTTAAAAAGAGGAAGTGAGGGTACAGTTGAGAGAAAATGAGTGACAGTGGTAATGGAGAAATGGGTACAATCTAAGACATTTGGAAGCAATAGTGCTTGTTACCAATTGGTGGATGGAAAGTGGGGGGAGTTAAAAGTAATAGTGCTATTTCATGACTAGGTGGAGAGTGATAAATGATACAATTAGTGTAAATAGGGAACAGAGGAGGAAGTCTATTGGACAAAACAGTAAGTTCAAGAGTTGGACATGTTGCAGCTGAGGTACCCACGGGAACTCCATGTGAACAGGCTAGTTTAATGCTCAGAAAAGAGGACAGATCTTGCAGAGACTTTAATATATAAATGGGTCGACCATATAAAATTATAGTAGCTAACATGGATGTAAGTTTATATGCCCAACACTGTTCCCAGTGCTTCACATGTACTTCAGTTCATGTCATCTTCCCTGTGACTGTATGAGGCAGGACTTACTGTTCTTAACCCCATTTTATATAATCTACCCAAGTTCACACCAGTGAGAGATGGAGTCAGGATTTGAACTGTAACATATTTGCCTAACCAAAAATCCAGAGAGAGGATGATATGGCAAGCCACAAAGCAGGGATTTGCATATGTATGTGAAAAATCCCACAAAATTTTCAAATTAAGTCACATTTAACTGCACAACAAAAATAACTTTTATAGAAAAAATGGAGTAGAATAATTTGGAACTGATTAGAAAATTTAGAGCACATGACTGTTGCTTATGCAGTATAGTATTGGGCAAAGACATAGAAGTCAACGTGCTTGCCGGAGAAGAATGAGAGGATGGGGAGGAAAGAGGGCCCCAGCGTAGAATCCTGGAGAACACTGATATTCAAGGAGGAGTGAAGGTAGAGAGCTCAGCAAATGAGACTGTGAACTAGAAGAGAAAGATGTGCCTGAAGCCAAGAAATAAAACATTTGGCAAAGAGAAATTGTTGGTGGGAAGAATTCAGATATAATAAAGCCTGAAAATGTTTCCAATGACTTTCCCCAGCTAGAGTTTGTTGTTGGCTTTTTTCAGAACAGCTTCTATGGTACAGAGGGTGCTGGAGCCAGAAGACAGTAGGATGAGAAATGCATAAGAAGTGAAGAGTGGCCAGGCGTGGTGGCTCACGCCTGTAATCCCAGCACTTTGGGAGGCCGAGGTGGGTGGATCACCTGACGTCAGGAGTTCGAGACCATCCTGACCAACATGGTGAAACCCATCTCCACTAAAAATATAAAAAATTAGCCGGGCATGGTGCCAGACGCCTGTAATCCCAGCTACTCGGGAGGCTGAGGCAGGAGAATTGCTTGAACCTGGGAAGCGGAGGTTGCCGTGAGCTAAGATCATACCACTGCACTCCGGCCTGGGCAACAGAGTGAGATTTTGTCTCAAAAAAAAAAAAAAGAAGTGAAGAGTGTAGACACATCTCCCAGAAATTCAGCTGTGAGGAGAAGGAGGATAGGATTTTGGCATAGATAGTCTTTTTTTTAAACACATTTTTTTGTTTGTTTGTTTTTTGAGATAGGGTCTCACTCTGTCGCCCAGGCTGGAGTGCAATGGTGCCATCACGGTTCACTGTGGTCTTGACCCCTCCAGGATCAGGTGGTCCTCGCACCTCAGCCTCCCAAGTAGCTGGACTACAGGCATGTGTTACAGTGGGTTTTGCCATATTGCCCAGGCTGGTCTTGAACTCCTGAGCTCAAGCAAGTCTCACACTTCAGCCTCCCAAAGTGCTAGGATTACAGGCTTGAGCCATCGTGCCAGCCATAAATAGTCTTAAATATTAGATGTGTGAATGGAAAAGGGCCATTCCATTTCCCTCAGGGAACGGGCACTGGAATTCCTGTAGACTAGTTTACAGCTTTTCTCAGAAAACAGCTTCATAGCAGCTGAAATGCTTCAGCAAGGATTCATTGAAACCATGGAATCTTGAATGTGAGTGAAGGTCCAGGCAATGTGCAATCCCACTGCATGTTCAATGTTAATGCTTTAACTTGTGAGAAATAAGGGCGATCCATGGCATTATCAATTTGGTATTTTGCTGAGGTAGGAATTTTACCCATTTGCTTGCTGAGGCTGCCGAGACCGCATCTGTCCCTTCTGTGGTTCATGGACCTAGCAGATGGCTCAGCATCCACTCCTACCCTGGTGTCACATGAAGTTTTTAACAGTGTTGTTTCATAGTGAAAAAATGCCCATCAAATGAGAGAGAAAACTCAAAAGGGTAGTTTTTTTGTAGTAAATAGGTGGCGTCCAGAGATGTATGTGTTGAAATGCAAATAGATTTAAGAGAGAACCAGGAATCTGAACCCATTTTCACGATTTTGAGCTTCTGGAAGTTATGGGAATGTACCCTGCATAGATCAAATAAGTAGGATGAACACACATCCTAGGTTGCTTGGGGTATTCCTGATTGGCTCCTGTTGACCTGGTAAAATATCTCATAGTGTCTCCTTTCATTTTCCAAAATAGTCCTGGTTTGTCTGATAAATCATAAGGTCATCATATATACAAGTTATACTACAATGAGTTCAATCAGATTATGGGGAAGGAGGGAGGGCTGGACAGATGGTATCAAGGAAGGTTTCACAGGTGTGGCCTTGAACAACAAAGAGATCCAATAAGGCAGAGAGGGGAAAGAAGGTGTTCGTGACTGGTGATGATGAAAGCACAGAAGAGGTGCTTACCTCACAGAAAACGGAGACGTTGAGTTGTCTCTCAAACCACACTCCTTTGGAAACTCACCAAACCTGAAGAAGTTAAAACGAGAAGTGGAATGCAGCCATCTTCCATGAGATCCACTGCTCATTTTTAGCTGTCCAGTTCTGAGGATTTTAAAAATGTTAGTTAATACTTGCACATTTTTATTAACTAGATTTCTGTAGAGAATACCACTGTGCAGTTATTTTGCATCATGATGGCAGCAAAAATGTCTTCAACCAGTTCTTAGATTCTAATGTTTTAGAAGTTGCAGGAATTATAGCTTCCCTACTAGCTAAAGAGGGGTTTGGATAGAGGAGATAAACTTAATTTAAAGCATAAAGTGTTCGAAGGTTCCCTCCCCATTGTAATTATAAGAATTATATTTAATATGTATGTAACAGATATTCACATCTTGAAGGAAGAAAACAACTCCCTTTGCATAAGGTAAAAATACTGCAAATATTTCATTATGTCAGTTATTTATTCTTTCTAAAATCCCAGCAGTATCATTTTCCTCAAAATTAATCCTGATTATCACTGAATGTTCTTTGCTTACTGGATTCCCAACTGCCTGGGCATTACTTTTTTGTTTCTTTTGTCTTTGTGTACATGAGGGTTTAGATACATGCACAAATTTCAAACCTTTTTCGATAGGTAGGATTTGCAAAATCGCACAAAAAATTATTATAACAAATGTGATTATATGTGGGAAATTGGATTTAGACCTGTAATACAATGAAGGCTTAACAAACTTTTTACTCTAAAGTAACACTGGAATAAAAGTAGGCTCGATTCTATCATTTCTAGAAGGTCTGATTTTCTTCTAATTTCCATGATATATTGGTATTGTTAACCCACATATGTGAACAGTAGAGACACTGCTGAGAGCCTGCACATAGGACCTCAATTCTACTTGGGATGACAATTTGCCTGACACCCATCCCCCCCAAAAAAAACCCTACATTCCCCAGATTTCCTTGTAAGTGAAAGGAATAACCACATGATCTCATTCTGGCCAAAGACATAAGGGAAAGCCACCTGATGAGACATCAAAGAAAAGCTACTGTTTTCTTATTGAAGGAGACATACTCAGCCAGCAAACATTTTTGAACTTTGCCTTTCCCTTTCTTCCTGCCTGGACTGCAGATGTGATGGCAGAGTGGGGCTGCCATCTTGGGCCATGAAGCAACAAGCATGAAGACATACAAAGGATGGTTGAGTGGAAAGGTAGGAGTCTGATGGCACTGTGGGGTTTCTGTGCCAGCCCTGGAGTGCCTGCCGGTGGAATTTTTGTTGCATGAGAAAGAGAAACCTTTAAGTAAACAAGCCACTGATTTTTAAGTATTGTGTTATGGACAGCCAAGCCTATTCTGTAATTGATTAATTCCTAATTGATTAATCCGGGAATGACCCAATTTTAGTAACATTTTATCCCTGTCATTCCTCCTTCTTTGAAAAACATTCTCAGCATCTGAGGGCAGTTTTGAGGATTAAATGAGTCAGTATGAGTGAGGTTTCTGAAGTAGTGACTGATAGTAAATATTGGTTCCTATTACAGAAAGTGAGTACAAGATACTTTTTCCAAGAGAATAAGGATAGGGTTTCTGGAAGTCTTAGCTCCACGTGATACAGCTACAGTTGCCTTATACAGGGATATGCTTAAGAGGCAGTGTAAAAGGCTCATTACACTTCATATGATGTGTGTGCATCCTTATCTCACTGTGCTGAACTTTGATGAGTAAAACTTGGTTTATTACAGAATATGTGAAGGTATTGGTGGGAGCCATACACAGCACAAGATCACGGATAGTGGACAGTAAAAACCAAGTTAGAAATATTTATGGAGCACTGCTTATGCATAGCGCTCAGTGTTGGTCCTGTGATTGGAGATAATTTTTGTCATCAAATAGGACCTGTACCTTTATGGGATTCTGAATGAAAGGGAAACAGTCATGAGAATATTTATTTGGTTACATGTGCACTACAGCTGAAAAAAGAAAAGGCACTGCTACATAGCCCTTGCCCAGGAGGGACTCACAAAATCATAAGACAGTTCATATTTTGTAACCAAACATTTGAAAAAAAGAAGTAATCGTGAACTCCAGGAAAAACAAAAATATTTCAAGAATGTAATTAATCGTAGCATACTACTCTGAGCATAGTAAACTAGCAGCAAACAATACTTAATCATAATAACTAAAAAACTCAAAATGGATGAACCCTCAAATTATGAGGTAACTAACTGGGAGAATGAAGGGGGTGAAGGGTATTTGAGAGCGGTAATATCTTCCTCTGCTATAAGAAGTCAGTAGATAATATTTAAAATTGATAAATCAAGTGGTAGCAGTATATTTGTATTATGTAAAGATTTGCGGTAAATTAGAAGAAAAAAAGTCACTCAGAGATGATGTGGTTGCAGTGGGTGGGCTGAGAAAGGCAAGGAATTGCCCTTTTTGGTGAAACATTTTAGACTATTCGACTTTTGAACTTTGATACATTTTAAGCTAAAACATTAATTAAAAATTATGTTTTGGACAGAACAAAAAAAGGATTGAACAGTGAAAGATCAAGAGGGAATGATTCCTTGGGAGCGGCAGTTGACAAAGCAAATTACAGAATATACTCAGTGAGAATCAGATGAAACACGGGAGATAAAAGGCTCCGGACCAAGAGGTCCCAGCGAAGCATTCAGAGGAGAAAGGCTGCAACCAGGAAGTCCACACACTCACAGCTGCTTCCAGGCCCCGGTGCTCACCCAGTAACAAAGCCACTTCTGTCTGGGAAAACCACAGCAAGGCGAGGCAGGGAGCAGAAAGCCTTTAATTGGGGTGGCGAACGAGCGGCCCTGTGAACTCCAAATGCCTCCAGCAGGCTGGGGCACGCTTTTTCTTTCCCTTCCTCTTTGCCCACCCGTTGATGGCCTCGCTCTCCAGGGCTTCTCAACAGGCATTGTTGGTCTTTTGGCTTCTCCCCTGCTTCAGGTCCGGAGCCATCTTTCCGCCTTTTTGCTATTCCGCCCTGAGCATGCTACGGGCCAGTGTCCTGGGTTCTCAGTTTACCCTCTCTCCATCAAGATGTTCCTATCCGGGTTCCACCTCCTCAGACCTTGCCAGGTGACTGGGCATCTAATCTAATAATCCAGTAACAAAATCAGTGGTAACTAAAGGCTGATAGCCAAATATGTTAATGCTTTCTATTAACATTTCCAGATTAATAGTGACTTTTGGAGCTTCAACTCAGAGGAATTACTTATCTGGGAAAGTTGGGCAGTCGGTGTCCAGAGATTAGGGACTTTTGGGTTGGACAATCCCTGGTTCCCCTGAAATTGCTCCATGAAAGAACCTTCTGAGCATAATTGAGCCAGCCTCAGTGTCCCCAGTTTTTTGGTATTGATCCAACCCCACGGTGATCTCATCTCCCTCCACATTGAAAGAATCCAATCTATTCTGCACTATTTTGTGCTTGTTTGTTGGTAAGTTTTCCTAAGACAGGTTGCATGTATATCCCTTTTCTTCCTAAACTGGTCCATGACCTCCTTGAGGGCTGGCATCCTGTTGTCAAATGAAATGATAGCTTCCTTTATTAACTACACATGTCCTCCTTGACGACTTTCTGGGGCCTTGACTCACAACCCTTTGGCTTAGAAACCTGCTCTAGTCATGAGATGAAGCGCTGATGGGAAAGAAGGTATCAGTCTGCCTGTAAGAAAGAGAGCTAGAGAGAGGACAGAGGCAGGGCAAAGAGGCCAAGGACTGAGGTGCTCAGCGCTCGGCAAGAGCGGGTTTCTCTGGAGTGGACAGAACACTGGGTTTCTGGGTGGTCAGGTACTCACATGGAATTTTGGGGACTCAGTTTTCTTGAAACAGTCTTTGCTTACACTGCCCAAGCTGGGCTCATAAGAGGGGCGAGGTACTGGGAAATGAACCATTGAATCTGTAATTCTCAAAATCTCATGACATACACAGAGCAGGGTTTTTAGGACACTGTAGACAAATCCACCTAAATAGCTTCTGACCTGTGTATCATGTTGTCTGGTGATTTCAAAATGCCTGAGAGGGTGAAGGGAGAAGGAAAGGCTCTCAGTGAGGTAGAAACAGCTAGTAATGGCAGATATAAAACTACAATAAAGATAAAAAAATAAATATTATTATGTTTTAAAATATAAAAACATAAAAATGTGCTTTTATTATATAAAGTATAGAAAAACAAAAAGAAGGAAATAAAAACACCCATGTTAAAGAGTGAAATTTAAAGGGTTAAGAAACATGTTATACTTTTCAGATCTTTATATTTTAAGATACACATGTGTACACATATATAATATATACTATATACACACATTTTAGAACATAAATAAGATCATACTAAATATTGTTACAGAATTTGCTTTTTTACTTAGCACATTATTATAAGCATCTTTCCCTGCCAATAAATATTCTTTCACTTTTTCATTTCTAAATCTTGAAGACGATGTCATTGTATAGATGTGCCAAAATTAACTGAATCTCTACTTTCTTTTCTGAGACAGAGTTTTGCTCTGTTGCCCAGGCTGGAATGCAATGGTGCGATCTTGGCTCACTGCAACCTCCACCTACCAGGTTTAGGTGATTCTCCTGCCTCAGCCTCTCAAGTAGCTGGGACTACAGGTGTGCACCACCACACCCAGCTAATTTTTGTATTTTTAGTAGAGACAGGGTTTCACCATGTTGGCTAGGCTGGTCTCGAACTCCTGGCTCCAAGCGATCCACCTGCCTCGGCCTCCCAAAGTGCTGAGATTACAGACGTGAGTCACAGTGCCTGATCTTTTTTTTTTTTTTTTTTGAGACAGAGTCTCACTTTACCTCGCCCAGGCATGATCTTGGCTCACTGTGGCCTCCTCCTGGGTTCAAGTGATTCTCCTGTCTCAGCCTCCCAAGTAGCTGGGACTACAGGTGTGTGCCACCACACCTGGCTAATTTTGTATTTTTATAGTGATGGGGTTTCACCAAGTTGGCCAAGCTGGTCTTGAACTCCTGACCTTAGGTGATCTACCTGCCTTGGCCTCCCAAAGTGCTGGGATTACGGGTCTGAGTCCCGCCCCTGGCCCGCCCTGGCTAGTCTTGAACTCCTAGCCTCAAGCAATTCTTCTGCCTCAGCCTCCCAAAGTGCTGGAATTACAAGTGTGAGCCACCATGACTGACCTCTACTGTTGAATTGTTTCTAGTTTTTCATTGTTAAAAGCAATGCATCATTTTACATTATTGAAATTTAGAGTTTTTATTATTATGTATGCTAAATATCATGCTCGTTATTTTTTTTGTTGCTATTCAAAGTCATCAAGACACTTTTAGCTCTTGTTGGTAGGTGAGGCATGGGCCAAAAGAACTAAAGATAAAGGAGCAGCTGGATTTAATCTGCAAGCAGCTGAACTGATGCTGTGAAAAGGGCTTGGGCAGCCTATTGGTAAAAGAACAATAAACAAAGATGTAAGAAAAAGTAACAGGTTTTTACTAATTTAACAAATGTAAAGACACTTGCATTTTTAAAAGCTATCTTTTTTTTTTCTGTTTATTTCACAGTTTTTAAAGAAGATGTAACCAATTCTTAATATCCTAAAAGTAGAAAGCACGGGCAAGTGTATAAATGTTTTCTCATTCCTTTCTACTTCTGGGTGGCAGCCTGAATGCGTATCTATTATTGCAATTACTTCCTAATCCTCTGCAAGTGGCAGCTTCCGGAGAAGCAAGCAAGGGCTGTGAGAAAAACTTTAAAGCCTCTAAAGCTTAAACTGAAATTTAAATTTACTTAAAAAGACCAGCAACAATAAACATGGATCAGTTGTTCTCGAACTAGATCCAGCCCAAGAAGCTCTACAATTGTGTTGTGTGAAATAGTTGCCACCAGTCACAGGTGGCTGTTGAGCATTTGAAATGTGAGCAGGACAACTGAAGAACTGAATTTTTAATATTATTTAATTTTAATTAATTTATATTTTAAAACTGAAGCAGCATATTTTTTCCTGTAATAAACTCATTTCTCTGGTAGGACTACATTTCATTTTAACCATTGCAGCATCAGATATTATACTGTCATGCGTGTTTTGGGTGTCTGTGTTGTTTCTAATGTTACACATAAACATGTAGTCGAGTAGTTGGGATTCAGTTCAAATTATTCTTTTCTATGCATTGATGTGACACAAGAATGTGTTTATTTGAATACTGTATGTAGGTAGCATGAGTTACAGTGATAATTAAACTTTTTTTCTACTTAGAAAATGAGTCTGAATGAATTTTAGATTTAAAATGAAGGCACGCTACTAATGGAGAATCAAATGGAGATATAGAAGTAGTACAACAGTGAAGAAAACAAGAGACTGGAAGAAGGTATGTTGCCAGTTTCACAGTGAATGGCAATTGCAATTTGCTGTGGCAGAGCTGTTTGTTGTATAATTCTTCTTTCCTAAGATAATAAAGTGGACAATATTAAGAGACATTTTCAGCAAATACATACTGAATTTTGGTAAGAAGCTTCCTCTAAACAGTAAAAAATTGATAAGAGAAGTCCCCTGAAATCAGAATTGTGTCCAATAAAATATTTTACATATACAAACATACACACACACACCATTTAGCTGGAAAAATGGTAAAATACATTATGAGTTAATTATGGAAATTGTTTGTAAATTATGAGGATAGAGAGTAAAACATATATTTTACAGAAAGTAAAAGATTTTATGAATAAAAACCAAAAATTTAAAAAATAAGTCATTAAACAATTACCTAAACATGACCTTTCAACAATATAAATGATCAGGTGATTCAAAATTGGAAAAATTACAATTACTTTTCTTTAGCTTTAGAGGCTATGCAACATAAGAGACACTATCCAATTAATTTCTTCAGGTATATTTTGTCTCAAGGGGCTTCCACATTTTAAAGAAATCTTGTAAATTTGTGGCTTAACATTAAACTCATGCTGTACATAATTTCTGAGTCTTTTACATTTGTCAGAGTGTTCAAGGCAGAATTGAAAGAAAAATACTTTTTATAATGATAGATGATGCTCCAACTGTGTTAGGTTGAAATTGAATGTATTGGAATTTTAAAATAAGTGACTGATATTTCCCTTATATGATATATATTGAAAATATTTGTGCTGTTTGCTGGTACAGACTGTATGAAAGTGTTATGATATAGTTGTTAACATCCTTTTATATGTATGTGCAAATACTGTTAATCATTGGCAGTTTGTAGAACTGTTGAAAGAAACAGAAGACAATGAATTGAATGATGTTATATTCTTTGGCAATGCTCATTGGTTGAGCTGTGGAAGAGCTTTACAGATTTACTGTATTGTTAGCTCTAATTTTCTCGAAACAGAAAGAATGCTTGCCTAACATTCTATTATTATTATTATTATTATTATTATTTTTGAGATGGAGTCTCGCACTGTCTCCCAGGCTGGAGTGCAGTGGCCGGATCTTGGCTCACTGCAAGCTCCACCTCCCAGGTTCACACCATTCTCCTGCCTCAGCCTCCCGAGTAGCTGGGACTACAGGCTCCTGCCACCTCGCCCGGCTGGTTATTTGTATTTTTTAGTAGAGACGGGGTTTCACCGTGTTAGCCAGGATGGTCTCGATCTCCTGACCTCGTGATCCGTTCGTCTCAGTCTCCCAAAGTGCTGGGATTACAGGCTTGAGCCACCGCGCCCGGCCCAAACATTCAATTGTTAAAGATAAAAGTGGCAGTGTGATTTACATTTTCTCACTGATATCACACCACATATGAATGAGCTAAATTTGAAGTTCCAAGAAAAGGTAAAACTTATTTGTGACCTAACTAGACAGACAGAACAATTTATATTGAAATAGAAACTTTTCATAATACAAATCAATAGTGATTTTATACATTTTCTAGAGTATGAATTAATATGCAGAATATTTTTATGAAAATTGTCAAAAGTACAAGGAAAATTTGAACACTTTGTTGATATTGATAAATTTAGAGTTGTATTTCAATTTATTAAATACTTTTAAAACTTGATACTAATCTTGAGTGGACACAGGAGAGTACCAATTCATTTAACTGAATGTAGTTAAATGAATGAAGTTTTGAAATTGAAAATGCTTATGCTTCAAAATCAAAGCAAAATTTTTTTGTTTTGTTTTGTGTTGTTTTGTTTTGGTTTTGAGACGGAGTCTCGCTCTGCCGCCCAGGCTGGAGTGCAGTGGCGCGATCTCAGCTTACTGCAAGCTCCGCCTCCCGGGTTTGTGCCATTCTCCCGCCTCAGCCTCCGGAGTAACTGGGACTTCAGGTGCCCCCCACCAGGCCCCGCTAATTTTTTGTTTTTGTATTTTTAGTAGAGGCGGGGTTTCACCGTGTTAGCTAGGATGGTCTCGATCTCCTGACCTCGTGAACCACCCGCCTCGGCCTCCCAAATTGCTGGGATTACAGCCACAGCGCCCTGCCAGTAACTTTTTTTTTTTTAAGAACCAGTTTGTCAATGTAAATGCAAATGTTAAAGGAAAATAATTTTTGAATACTTAATGAAATGATTGGAAAACTTTTATTTTTTATTTTTATTACAAGTTGAAATTATATTTGACATATTGTGTCAAATATATATTACTAAAATTAATTTCACTTTTTTTTTTACCTTTTTAAATGTGGTACCTAGCAAATTTAAAATTGTATATGCAGCTGACATTGTATTTCTGTTGCCAGCGCTTGCCCGTACATCCCAGCTTTATGGATTTTGTGGAATAGTTCCAAAATCCCAAAGGTATCACTACCTAGTTATATATAAAATCATCCAGACCAATGTCATCTGCCCTGTAATGCCAAGTTATTTGTGTGTCACTGACCCACCATATCCTCTCTTCATTGTCAACTAGGGAATCTGTTTGTGAGATGCCCAGAGTTCAAGTTCAATCTGGCCATGTAACTGAATTCCCTGAAAACAGGCTGTCTGTGGAAGAATGTAATCAGTGATCTTAGACTAGTTATCATTTATTTCAATCAACTTAGGAAAACTCTAACTGATGGAGAACCAGAAATCAAATCTTAGAAGATTATATTAGTCACTATTGATATGGTCACCTGTGCCTGAAAACAAATTGATTCATGGTGCCAAGCAAGGCCTTTACAAGATAAGACAAGAGCTGGATTCACTGTCTCAGTTCCTGAAAGAGAACAGAGACCAACTAGGATCAATACATTCCTGAGCCTGGAAAAAGAGAGATTGTCACATGCTATAATTCAGGGGAAAAATTAATCTGGACGTTTCTATCTCCCTTAGCTACCTTTTCTGTACTCTTGTTTTGTCTGGATTCGTGCCAGATTCAGGACATTTGTGTCAGTGATGTCTTGTGGTTTAAAAAAAGCAATTATTGGATCAAGTCAGAAGATCTGGATGAGAGGTCTTGGTTAATTACACAGTCTCTCTCAGTTTTCTGGTCTGGATTGGATCAGCTGATCTATAAGAAACCTGCTAGAGCCATGGTTTTGTGTTTCTAAGTTGTTCTGAGACACAAATCCCAAACTATGTAAAACTCGCTTAAAATCTGAACTACATTCCAAGAACAAGATTTGAAATGCTATCATTTTCTTTCTTCTTCATCAAATAAAGAAGAATGTGGAACAATACACTTGTGTAATTTTCTATTTACTGGGAGTCACTATTACATTGTTTTATAAAAGCTGCTTGATACTTTTCCCTTATCAAAAATGAAATAGCAAGAAGGAAGATTTAGGAATGCTGTTATATTTCTAATCTTGCTCTTTATTTGTAAGTGTGGGACCCTAAAAATGGAAGACTGTTTGTGTAATAGCATTATAGAGAAAATGGCCAAAGAATCATATTTCTTCTTTCACTCACTTGATAAAACCTTCAAATGTTAGTTTGAACTAACTTTTAGTGATGTTAGAAGTGAAAACTAGCTCTCTAGGGTACATAGTTTTTATGCTAATTTCCTGCACCTCAATGTGGACAATTATTCTAGGGCACGTGAATGATCCATTCACTGAATGAAGAAAAATTATTACAAATGATTATTGATGAGTTAATCAAGATAACTGTGTAAAGTGTTTTTATCCATTAGTGGTAACATCTACAGTATTTCACAATCATCATAATAAAAGAGCCAAATGCTAATGGGCAAGGTAATCAGACTTAATGAAGAACAGTGAAAAATCTGCTTTTAAAAATAGTTTACAGTTTTCATAATCACTGAAGTGGTCAGTGAGTCCCAAGATTCTTCATATTTCATAATGTGTGTTTGCAAATGTTTTTCATCACTTAAAAAATAGTCAGATTTTTCTAATGTAAAAAAAGAATAGAAATAAATGGAAAGGGATTCATTTTTAAAAAATACATATTTAAAAAGCTATTCATGTTGCAACGGTGACTTAAAATGGGGGAATCTCTATGCATTTAAAAATGTGCAACTACTTTTTTATGTTTTTTTCTCCCATCTTTATCCTTTTACTCAAATTTGGTAATTTTATCAATACAAGCTCAGATAAGTCTGGACTCACAATTTTATTTTAATTATTCATTATATATTGTGGTTTAAATTTGTATTGATTTATTGATTCTGTACCCCAATGTATTGCCATGATGACATGAGGGCCTGACATTCACCCTCTTTTGAGAAAAGCTATGTAAAGTGTTTCCTTATTAATACATCACTGTATTTTGTATCATGTGGTCTCATTACCCTGGCATTTTAAGGTAGGCCCAGCTAGGGATGCACCCTCCATGGAGCCAGTGGGAACTCCGCCCCTTCTGAGTTGGGAAGGGAGCTCCCCAGGCGCTGCTGCAGCCGCCCAAAGCCCTTCCGCAGACCCAGGTCTCCTGCTCCACGGAGCAGGCAGGAGCTCCGCCCTCCCGGGCGGGGCCACAGTTACCCAAACTGCTGCTGTGGATCCGAGCCTCCCTGTTCCCTTGGAGTTGGGCCCTGAAGCAGGCGAGATCTGCCCTCCCAGGTGCAGCTGCAGCCTCCTGAACCGCGGCTGCAGACCTGGGCCTCCCGCTCCACGGAGTAGGCAGGAGCCGGGACAAGCAGGAACCCCGCCCCTTCTTAAGTTGGCAGGGCGGGATCTCCCCGGGGCACCTGAAGCCGCCCTCCCAGGTGCAGGACCTGGGCATCTCTGCGACCTGCATCCTTGGGGACAGAAAGCATAATTAAGCAGAAGCATTCTTATTCTATACTCTTAAAACTAGTTGTGGGTTAAATGAAAAAGTCAACTGGAACAACAAAAAAGGTAACTGTGAGGTGATGGTGTGTTACTTAGCTTGGTTGTGGTCATTTCACAATGAAAAAGTGAAAATCAAAGCATCACATTTACACCTTTAATATGTACAATTTTTATCTATCAATTATACCTCAGTAAGGTTGAAAAAAGTGAGAAATAATAACAATACATGCATATACTGTTTTAGCCATTTTTAAATATTTTTAAATCTTAAAGTTTGGGGGGTACATAGTAGGTGTATGTGTTTAGGGGGTACATGAGATATCTTGATACATTCATTCACTGTGTAATACTCTTATCAGGGTAAGTGGAGTATTCATCACCTCAGGCATTTATCCTTTCTTTGTGTTAGAAACAATCCAATTATACTAGTATTTTAAAATAATAATAAATTATTGTTGACTGTAGTCACCCTGTTGTACTATCAAATACTAGATCTTATTCATTCTGTCTTTTTGTACCCATTAACCATCCACACTCCCCCCTGCATTGCCTACTACTTTTCCCAGCCTCTGGTAACCATCATTCTGTTCTCTCTGTGAGTTAAATTGTTTCACTTTTCAGCTCTCACAGATAAGTAAGAACATGCAATATTTGTCTTTCTGTGCCTGGCTTATTTCACTTAACTTAATGGCCTCTGGTTCCATCCATGTTGTTGCAAATGACAGGAACTCATTCTTTTTTATGGTCGAATAGTATTCCATTGTATATATGTACCACATTTTCTTTATCTATTTGTCTGTTGATGGACACTTCGGTTGCTTTCAAATCTTGGCTATTAATAGTGCTGATATAAACATGGGAGTGCAGACATCTCTTCAATATTCTGATTTCTATTCTTTTGGGTATATACCTAGCAGTGGGATTGCTGGATCATATGGCAGCTCTATTTTTAGTTTTTTGAGGAGCATCCAAACTGTTAGTGATTGTACTAATTTACATTCCCACTAATAGTGTACAGGGTACCCTTTTCTCAGCATCCTTGCCAGCGTTTGTTGCTGCCTGTCTTTTAGATAAAAGCCATTTTAACAGGGGTGAGATGATGTCTCATTATAGTTTTGATTTGCATTTCTCTGATGATCAGTGATGTTGAACGCCTTTTCATATGCCTGTTTACCATTTATTTGTCTTCTTTTGAGAAATCTTTTGTCCATTTGAAAATCAGATTAGATTTTTTTCCTACAGAGTTGTAGCAGGAAGAACCGCAGACAAAACTCCTCAGACACCGAGTTAAAGAAGGAAGGGGTTTATTTGGCTGGGGGCTTCGGCAAGACTCCTGCCTCAAGAGCCGAGCTCCATGAGTGAGCAATTCCTATCCCTTTCAAGGGCTCACAACTCTAAGGGGGTGCGCGTGAGAGGGTCGTGATCGATTGAGCAAGCAGTGGGTACGTGACTGGGGGCCGCATGCACCGGTAATTAGATCGGAACAAAACAGGCTAGGGATTTTCACAGTGCTTTTCTATACACTGTGTGTAATCTAGAGATAACATAACTGATTAGGTCAGGGGTCGATCTTTAACTACCAGGCCCAGGGTGTGGCGCCAGGCTGTCTGCTTGTGGATTTCATTTCTGCCTTTTAGTTTTTACTTTTTCTTTCTTTGGAGGCAGAAATTGGGCATAAGACAATATGAGGGGTAGTCTCCTCCCTTAGAGTCATTTGAGTTCCTCACATATTCTGGTTATTAATCCCTTGTTGGATAGTTTGCAAGTATTTTCTCCCACTCTGGTTGTCTCTTCATTTTGTTGATTGTTTCCTTTGCTGTGCAGGAGTGTTTCAGCTTGATATGATTAGCCAATCTTTTATGCAGAGCCATAGCCTCGCTGACGAAAAGAAATACTTTACAGAGTTTGTAAAGTTTACAAACTGTAAAATATTTAAAGAGGTTTATTCTGAGCCAAATATGAGTGACTATAGCCTGAGGCATAGTCTCAAGAGTGCCTGAGAATGTGTGTCCGAGGTGGTTGGGTTCCAGCTTGGTTTTATACATTTTAGCAAGACATAAGACATCAATCCATGCATGTAAGATATACATTGGTTCGGTCTGGAAAGGTGGGAGAACTGGAAGTCGGGTGAGAGGACTATCAGATCATGGGTGAATTCAAAGGTTTTCTGATTGGCAATTGGTTGAAAGAGTTAAGCTATTATCTGAAGACCTGGAATCAGTAGAAAAGAGTGTCTGGGTCAAGATAAGGGGTTGCCAAGACCAATGTTCTTATGAAGTCTCATAGGTGGCTGCCCTTAGAAACAATAGATAGGAAATGTTTCCCATTCATATCTTTAAAAGGTGCTAGACCTCTTCAGGACTGGGAGGTCCTGAAAGGGGAGGGATTTGTATGTTAACATGGGCACTTTATAGATGCAAATTTCCCCCACAAACCCACCTTTGCAGAACCATTTTAAAATATGGCAAAGGAACATATTTTGGGGTAAAATATTTTGATTTCCTTCTTTATCCATCATATGATATTATTCCAGAGTCAGGTTGGAAAGTAAGCCAAGTAGGATGAAATAAAACCCACCTGATGAGATTTTTTTGGCTTGTAGGGCATGGTTCCCCAGTTTCCTTAGATAGGAATTTGGGCAAGAGAGAAAAAAGGTGAGGATTTAATTCTCAGCCTTACTTTTGCCTATGCATCTTTACCTATGGAGTTTCCTGTCATCTTTCTTGGCCAAACCACACTTGACAATACAGTTTCATTATCTTTTTTTTTTTGAGACAGAGTCTCACTCTCCCAGCTCACTGCAACCTCCGCCTCCCGGGTTCAAGCAATTCTCCTGCCTCAGCCTCCTGAGTAGTTGGGATTACAGGTGCCCAACACCACGCCTGGCTAATTTTTGTATTTTTTTAGTAGAGACAGTGTTTCACCATGTTGGTCAGGCCGGCCTCGAACTCCTGACCTCAGGTGATCGCCCACCTCGGCCACCCAAAGTGCTGGGATTACAGGCGTGAGCCACTGCGCCTGGCCTCATTATCTTTTAAGTAGATTATTTAAAGAATTTAAAGACATTTACAAAGCTGATGAATAAAGAACTTTTCTACATTCTGTAATTTTATGAAAACCTTCTAAAATTTTACACTTAACCTACACATACTAAATTCAAAGGCAATTCAAACACTCAACTAAGTTTTTATAGAAACAATTCTCTTCTTGCACTCATCTTACACTTATATTGGTTTATATAATGCTTGATTAAATTACGTACGTAAAGGAACACATAGAACCAGGACAAATGCATTTCGAAACAAGTGCAATTGACTCTTGGTAAGCAGAAAACTTAATTGGAATTGCCTGCTACAAAGGTGTCTATAGTTGCAAATTTCCAGCATGTTTTGGCCATCAATCAGTGTGTTTTGTAGAGGAAACGGAGAGCACTGGTTTTTCTGGTA